CTTTCAAGATTTCAAGATTTTCTAAGGTTTATTGAGATATCATATAGGCCTACACAACTATGGTGTAGTTCTGCATTGAATGAAAAACTTGGGTCGCAGGTTCCTCAACAGTGCATTACAAGACATCTATCAATATGTGTGCATACCTCCACCATTAAACTGTCATATTCTGCACATTTCTTATACTATCTACATACATCTTATAAGAGTATAATACATATGTATAATATTAGTTCAAATTCAATAACGTGCTTTAACCACTAGGCGGTGCACACAAGGTACACACAGCATACTAATAATAACTTTGTATTATTAGTGTAGGACACTTATGTATGTATAACATCTGAAGATGTGTAGTTTTATTCATGTTTTTACATAATTTTACAGGATATTGCTATACTATTTCTCATGTTTTACGTCTACACATTAATATCTGATTTGTAAAACATCACAGACAGAAAGGTATATCCGTAATTTAATGGTAAGCTATTGAAATTGTGATTCCATAGATGTGTCTCCCATCACCCAAATCCCCTGACTATTCTCTCAACTCAGTATTTACATTCTTATATTCAAAGAAAATCAGTAATACATTTAAAAAGTCCTTTTATATCAGATTTGCACCGTTATGGTGTAAATACAGCCTATCTACCAATTGGAACAAATATAAAAGTCAGCCGAATTAGTGTTGATACTGCAAGGAGACGTATTGTGTGAAAAGAAATGTAAGATGTTGTTTAATGGCTGATATATTTATGATCCATGTCACGTTTTCAGTTTTCGCGGCAGTTCCTCATGTTTGTCTGGAAGTCTTCTCATCAGGGCTCTATAAATAGAGAACTACGGCAGATCTGTAATATGTAATGCAGCCGAACCGTGTATTACAATGCCGTTATGTGATGACTGTCAAAGAGAAAAGCAAGAACACTCGGAATAAAGTATTATTTTCTTTTTTTAAATGTTTTTCGGATTTCATATCATATAAACACCAAATCCCAACGTGCATTGCGGCTAAACAATCCAATCACAGAGCTTCTAGCTGAGGATCTTGGGTAATCAGTTTAGTGGGTGTGTGGTGTGTATCGCAATGATGCTCGAAATGTCCCTTATAGGCCTACGTCTGTTTCCGGTGACTTTATTTTGAAATTCAGTTCCTGAGGAACGGCTAAAAAGCCCGATATTATAGAATTAAACGAATAAATATAAACAAAGATAATTGTGTGTTATTATTGAGTAAATAACACAATAACAAATTAGAAAGAAAAAAAGATTAAAAAAAATACAGATTTAATTATTCTGAGGCTCTGAGCCATTTCTTTTACTCAAAGACGGCCAAAAAAAGTCAGACATTATACGATTTAAAATAAAAACAATAATCGTGGCTTGATATTGAGTAAGAACCGGTAAGAACATGTTTTTATGAACCACACAGCTTCCAGTCTACCAAGACCAGACGGACAAAACGTGGCGTATCATATGCATGCAAAATCGGACTTCTGCGTATCTATTGCACGCATTTCCAATGTGTAAAGTCGTGTCATTTGTACGCAGACTGAAGAGAGTAGGTTGGTATATATATATATATATATATATATATATCACACACACTGTATATATATATCACACACACACAAGCTGTGAGCAGCAGCCAATCAGAATGTGTCCTCAGGTATGGGAGGCGGTCTGTGCTGATCTGGTCCTACCTGCAGCTGGGGGTCCTGGGCTGCAGCTCGGCTTTTCTTCCCTCGTACTCCACCTACTGCGCCTTCAGGTTCCTGAGCGGCATGGCTGTCTCTGGAGTCATTCTGAACGGATTCTGTCTGAGTACTGTCTACCTGCTACCTGTCTGTCTACCTGCTACCTGTCTGTCTGTCTGTCTGTCTGTCTGTCTGTCTGTCTGTCTGTCTGTCTGTCTGTCTGTCTGTCTGTCTGTCTGTCTGTCTGTCTGTCTGTCTGTCTGTCTGTCTGTCTGTCTGTCTGTCTGTCTGTCTGTCTGTCTGTCTGTCTGTCTGTCTGTCTGTCTGTCACTCTGTCTGTCTGTCTGTCTGTCTGTATGTCTGTCTCTCTGTCTGTCTCTCTCTCTGTCTGTCTGTCTGTCTGTCTGTCTGTCTGTCTGTCTGTCTGTCTGTCAGAACGGAGTCTCTCTGAGTACCTGCCTACCTGCTACCTGTCTCTCTAACCACCTGTCTGTCTCTAACCACCTGTCTGTCTCTAATGACCTGTCTGTCTCTAACCACCTGTCTGTCTCTAACCACCTGTCTCTCTCTAACCACCTGTCTGTCTCTAATTACCTGTCTCTCTAACCACCTGTCTGTCTCTAACGACCTGTCTCTCTAACCACCTGTCTGTCTATAACGACCTGTCTCTCTAACCACCTGTCTGTCTCTAACCACCTGTCTGTCTCTAACCACCTGTCTGTCTCTAACCACCTGTCTCTCTAACCACCTGTCTCTCTCTAACCACCTGTCTGTCTCTAATTATCTGTCTCTCTAACCACCTGTCTCTCTCTAATTACCTGTCTGTCTCTAACAACCTGTCTCTCTAACCACCTGTCTGTCTCTAACCACCTGTCTGTCTCTAACCACTTGTCTGTCTCTAACGACCTGTCTCTCTAACCACCTGTCTGTCTCTAACGACCTGTCTCTCTAACCACCTGTCTGTCTCTAACCACCTGTCTGTCTCTAACCACCTGTCTCTCTAACCACCTGTCTCTCTCTAACCACCTGTCTGTCTCTAACCACCTGTCTCTCTCTAACCACCTGTCTGTCTCTAACCACCTGTCTCTCTAACCACCTGTCTGTCTCTAACCATCTGTCTCTCTCTAACCACCTGTCTGTCTCTAATTACCTGTCTCTCTAACCACCTGTCTGTCTCTAACCATCTGTCTCTCTCTAACCACCTGTCTCTCTCTAACCACCTGTCTCTCTCTAACCACCTGTCTCTCTAACCACCTGTCTCTCTAACCACCTGTGTCTCTAACCACCTGTCTGTCTCTCTAACCACCTGTCTGTCTCTAACCACCTGTCTCTCTAACCACCTGTCTGTCTCTAACCACCTGTCTCTCTAACCACCTGTCTGTCTCTAACCACCTGTCTCTCTAACCACCTGTCTGTCTCTAACCACCTGTCTCTCTAACACCTGTCTGTCTCTAACCACCTGTCTCTCTAACCACCTGTCTGTCTCTAACCACCTGTCTCTCTAACCACCTGTCTGTCTCTAACCACCTGTCTGTCTCTCTAACCACATGTCTGTCTCTAACCACCTGTCTCTCTAACCACCTGTCTGTCTCTAACCACCTGTCTCTCTAACCACCTGTCTGTCTCTAACCACCTGTCTCTCTAACCACCTGTCTGTCTCTAACCACCTGTCTCTCTAACCACCTGTCTGTCTCTAACCACCTGTCTCTCTAACCACCTGTCTGTCTCTAACCACCTATCTGTCTCTAACAACCTGTATCTCTAACCACCTGTCTGTCTCTAACCACCTGTCTCTCTAACTACCTGTCTGTCTCTAACCACCTATCTGTCTCTAACAACCTGTATCTCTAACCACCTGTCTGTCTCTAACCACCTGTCTCTCTAACTATCTGTCTGTCTCTAACCATCTGTCTGTCTCTAACCACCTGTCTGTCTCTAATTACCTGTCTCTCTAACTACCTGTCTGTCTGCAGAGGTGGAGTGGATCCCCATCAAACAGAGGACTCTGGTTGGAACTCTCACTTCCTTCTTCTTCACGTTTGGTCAGATGATCCTGGCGGGGCTTGCCTATTGGCTGAGAGACTGGAGGAAAATTCAGCTGGTGGTGTGTCTGCCCCAGTTCCTGTTCTTCTCCTACTCCTGGTCAGTGCCTTTCAAAATAAAAGCCTCTGCCCCAGTTCCTGTTCTTCTCCTACGCCTGGGCAGTGCCTTTCAAAATAAAAGCCTCTGCCCCAGTTCCTGTTCTTTTCCTACGCCTGGTCAGTGCCTTTCAAAATAAAAGCATCTGCCACAGTTCCTGTTCTTCTCCTACGCCTGGGCAGTGCCTTTCAAAATAAAAGCATCAGGAGGTTCTGCTCTCTGATTGGTCAGGTGGTTCTTCTCTCTGATTTCTCAGGTGGTTCTGCTCTCTGATTGGTCTGGTGGTTCTGCTCTCTGATTGCTCAGGAGGTTCTGCTCTCTGATTGGTCTGGTGGTTCTGCTCTCTGATTGCTCTGGAGGTTCTGCTCTCTGATTGGTCAGGTGGTTCTGCTCTCTGATTGCTCAGGAGGTTCTGCTCTCTGATTGGTCTGGTGGTTCTGCTCTCTGATTGCTCTGGAGGTTCTGCTCTCTGATTGCTCTGGAGGTTCTGCTCTCTGATTGCTCTGGAGGTTCTGCTCTCTGATTGGTCAGGTGGTTCTGCTCTCTGATTGGTCTGGTGGTTCTGCTCTCTGATTGCTCTGGAGGTTCTGCTCTCTGATTGCTCTGGAGGTTCTGCTCTCTGATTGCTCAGGAGGTTCTGCTCTCTGATTGCTCAGTTGGCTCTGCTCTCTGATTGGTCAGGTGGTTCTCGGAGTCGGCCCGCTGGTTGGTTCTGAATCGTCGTTCTGAAGATGCTCTGAGGTCTCTGCACCGAGTCGCTCGAGTCAACGGGAAGAAAGACATCGAGGACACGTTAACGCTGGAGGTAAGCTGTCAACTGTCTGTCATACACTTAGAGATGTCTGATGTCCAATGAGAAGCTGAGCTCGGCACCCTGTGACCTGTGATGTCCAATGAGAAGCTGAGCTCGGCACCCTGTGACCTGTGATGTCCAATGAGAAGCTGAGCTCGGCACCCTGTGACCTGTGATGTCCAATGAGAAGCTGAGCTCGGCACCCTGTGACCTGTGATGTCCAATGAGACGCTGAGCTCGGCACTGTGTGACCTGTGATGTCCAATGAGAAGCTGAGCTCGGCTCTGTGTGACCTGTGATGTCCAATGAGACGCTGAGCTCGGCACTGTGTGACCTGTGATGTCCAATGAGAAGCTGAGCTCGGCACCCTGTGACCTGTGATGTCCAATGAGACGCTGAGCTCGGCACTGTGTGACCCGCAGGTGCTGCACTCTCACATGAAGAAGGAGATGGACTTGAGCCACTCGACCTTCACGGCGTACGACCTTCTGAGGACGAGACAAATGAGACGCATCTCCATCTGCCTGCTGGTCGTCTGGTGGGAGTTCAATAAACCTTTATTAACATTAACACATCCACATCTTCATTAACACACACACATCTTCATTAACACACACACACCTTTATTAAGGTCTCCCTTGAAAAAGAGATCTATGATCTCAATGGGACCAATCTGGTTAAATAAAGGTTTGAAATTAAATGAACACACACACACCTTCATTAACACACACACACACACACACACACACACACACACACACACACACACACACACACACACACACACACACACACACACACACACACACACACACACACACACACACACACACACACACACACCTGTAACACACTTCATTGTTCTGCTATCAGCTGACAGAGTAGAGAAACAATATGAAGCTTATGTTATTCGAACTGAAAACACAGATACACATGTCAGATAGCAGCAGTGTGTTTACATAGATTATATATCTACATGATATATTTCAACATGATATATTTCACATTATATATTTATATAACTATGTACTAGGGGTGTAATGGTATACGTACCCATACTGAAATTATTCGGTACGGGCCCTTCGGTTCGGTACTCGTGTGTACCGAAGTGTACCGAACGAATATAACGTTAAACGTAAAATATTGAGAACGTGAACAACTTGTTGGAAGTAATCTCAGGTGCTGCGTCGCAGCGTTCAGAGTAATTTGCTCACATTGGGTTCAACGCGTCATGGAGCGAGCAAGTCATTTAATTGGACGAGAGGCATACATGAGAGCTGGTCAGAGGGATGCGTTCAAATGTAGTCAGTAATTTGAGGAACTATGGAAATGGCGAACGCAGATCAAGTTGAGCTGAAAATCCTCCAGCATCATTGAAGTCTCCGGTTTGGGAACATTTTGGTTTCGCAGTTACGAACAAGGATGACGGACAAAGACAGGTGGACCGAACCAACGCTGTTTGTCGGCATTGTTCAACTAACATTGGTTACGTTGCACACTCTTGAAAAGGCATCACTGAACGTGAATATCACCGGTACCAAAAGAAAAAAGACTGAAGTGCAAACCCAACTCCCGCTAGCATGTAAGCCTCCACCACTCGCAGAGAGTTCAGACCGAGCCAAAGCTATTACAAACGCCAAATATCCTTATGTTGCCATGTTAGCAAAGCGCTACCTGGCTGTGTCTGCTACCTCTGTCCCTAGAGAGGGTGTTCTCCACAGCAGGAGACATTGTTAGTGCCAGCAGATCTGCCCTTTCGACAAGCAATGTGGACAAGTACATCTTTCTTTAAAACAACATGAAAATACAATGACAAGCAAGTCCTAATGTCAAACTTGCTGCTTAGGTACAGTACAGTTCAAATACAGATTATTTCAGTTCATCGAAAAGCTGCACCTTAATGTTTATTTTATTATATTTTGTATTTATTTGAGTGAATATTCACAGTTTAATAATAATTAAAAAATATATATATATATGTTATGTTTTGTGATAATTTTTTCTGCTGTACCGAAAACGTACCGAACCGAACCGTGACCTAAAAACCGAGGTACGCATCGAACCGAAATGTTTGTGAACCGTTACACCCCTACTATGTACATATAGTTATGCCCGTCTGACAGTGATGTCATCCTGCAGGTTTGCCACCAGCTTTGCGTATTATGGTCTGGCGATGGACCTGCAGAAGTTTGGGGTGAGTCACATGATTAGCACTGATGCTATATGTAAGCTAACAGCAGCTAAGCTAACACTTCCTGTTACTCTCTGAATGTTTTCACTAACAGAGACATACAATCAAATGACATCAGAAAGAACAAACATGCCTCCTCCTGTCTCACCTGTTCCTGTCCCCACCTGTCCTCCTGTCTCACCTGTTCCTGTCCCACCTGTCCTCCTGTCTCACCTGTCCTCCTTTCTCACCTGCCTCCATCACACCTGTCTCACCTGCCTCCATCACACCTGTTCCTGTCCCACCTGTCCTCCTGTCTCACCTGTTCCTGTCCCACCTGTCCTCCTGTCTCACCTGTCCTCCTGTCTCACCTGCCTCCATCACACCTGTCTCACCTGCCTCCATCCCACCTGTCTCACCTGCCTCCATCCCACCTGTCTCACCTGTCTCCATCCCACCTGTCTCACCTGCCTCCATCCCACCTGTCTCACCTGTCCTCCTGTCTCACCTGTCCTCCTGTCTCACCTGCCTCCATCACACCTGTCTCACCTGTCTCCATCCCACCTGTCTCACCTGCCTCCATCCCACCTGTCTCACCTGCCTCCATCCCACCTGTCTCACCTGTTCCTGTCCCACCTGTCTCACCTGCCTCCATCCCACCTGTCTCACCTGCCTCCATCCCACCTGTCTCACCTGTTCCTGTCCCACCTGTCTCACCTGCCTCAATCGCACCTGTCCAACCTGTCTCCATCCCACCTGTCTCACCTGCCTCCATCCCACCTGTCTCACCTGTTCCTGTCCCACCTGTCTCACCTGCCTCCATCCCACCTGTCTCACCTGCCTCCATCCCACCTGTCTCACCTGTTCCTGTCCCACCTGTCTCACCTGCCTCAATCGCACCTGTCCAACCTGTCTCCATCCCACCTGTTTCACCTGCCTCCATCACACCTGTCCAACCTGTCTCCATCCCACCTGTCTCACCTGTCTCCATCCCACCTGTCCAACCTGTCTCCATCCCACCTGTCTCTGTACCACCTGTTCCTGTCCCACCTGTCTCACCTGTTCCTGTCCCACCTGTCTCACCTGTTCCTGTCTCACCTGTCTCTGTACCACCTGTTCCTGTCCCACCTGTCTCACCTGTTCCTGTCTCACCTGTCCTCCTGTCTCACCTGTCTCTGTACCACCTGTTCCTGTCCCACCTGTCTCACCTGTCTCCGTCACACCTGTCCAACCTGTCTCCATCCCACCTGTCTCTGTACCACCTGTTCCTGTCCCACCTGTCTCACCTGCCTCCATCACACCTGTCTCTGTACCACCTGTTCCTGTCCCACCTGTCTCACCTGTCCTCCTGTCTCACCTGTCTCTGTACCACCTGTTCCTGTCCCACCTGTCTCACCTGTCTCCATCCCACCTGTCTCACCTGTCCAGGTGAGTATCTACCAGATCCAGCTGATCTTCGGGGCCATGGATTTTCCCGCCAAGCTGTTGGCTCTGGGCATGCTCAGTTACCTGGGGAGACGAGTCTCTCAGGCCACCTGCCTGTTCGTCTCCGCCCTCTTCATCTTCGCCAACATCCTAGTCCCTGCAGGTAGCACACACACACACACACACACACACACACACACACACACACACACACACACACACACACACACACACACAACACACACACACACACACACACACACACACACACACACACACACACACACACACACACACACACACACACAGACACACACACACACACACACACACATATACACACACATATACACACACACACACACACACACACACACACACACACACACACACACACACACACACACACACACACACACACAGAGTGTACTGAGGTGTGAGAGACAGGTGTACTCCCCCCACAGACATGCAGACGGTTCGCACCACGCTGGCCTGTCTGGGTAAATGCTTCACCTCGGCCTCCTTCACCACCGTGTACCTATACACAGGTGAGCTGTACCCCACCGTGCTCAGGTGAGCCCCCGTACATATATAAATACATATAGTATACATACATTACACAGCCATGCATCATCTCTGTATGTGTCTGTGTGTGTTTGTGTGTGTATGTGTGTGTGTGTGCAGGCAGACAGGAATGGGCTTTGTTTCCACCATGGCGAGGGTCGGCAGCATGGCGGCGCCCGCGGTCCTGATCCTTGATGAGGTCTCTCGTTGAACATGTTTCATTATTGTTGTTGTTGTTTTTTGTCCCATGTTTATAAGTACGTCCAGGAATCAGATACATCTCCCCCTTCCTACGTAATTCATGCTAACCCTTCTGATGGACTGCATTTCCCAGGTACTCCCTGCTCTGCCCAGTGTTGTTTACGGGGGGGCGGCGGTGATAGCCAGCGTCTTCGCCTGCTTCCTGCCGGAGACGCTCAACAAGCCGCTGCCCGACACCATCGAGGACGTGGAGGAGAACGGGTAAGCTAACGGCTAGCAGCTTAATTAGTCGCTCTGTAAGATAGCTGAATCAGCTGTGCTAGCGTTAGCAGTGCCAGCATTGTAAGTATAACCTTTGTTAGCATTATCAGCCGGCACAGGGACATCGGTGTTAGCTTTGTTAACAGAGTTAGCCTTATTAGCTCTGAAAGCGTATATATATCCATGTTAGCTTTATTAACAGAGTTAGCTGTGTTAGCATCCTTGCTTATATAAATGTTTTTGTTCAGGTCGGAAACAAATCTCGCCCCTCTCAAACCAGAAGAAGGCGTGGCTTTGAAAGAGGGCGTGGTCACAACAGAGGGCGTGGCTTTAACATAACTGAAGGAGGCAGAGGGGAGTGGCCTCAACGCTCTCTGACCAATCACATGGACTCTGACCCCCCAATGCTCTGACCAATTACATGGACCCTGACCCCCCAACGCTCTGACCAATCACACGGATCCTGACCCCCCCTACGCTCTCTGACCAATCACATGGACCCTGACCGCCCAATGCTCTGACCAATCACACGGATCCTGACCCCTCAACGCTCTCTGACCAATCACACGGATCCTGACCCCCCCTACGCTCTCTGACCAATTACATGGACCCTGACCCCCCCAACGCTCTGACCAATCACACGGATCCTGATCCCTCAACGCTCTCTGACCAATCACATGGACCCTGACCCCTCAACGCTCTCTGACCAATCACACGGATCCTGACGGCCCCAATGCTCTGACCAATCACACAGATCCTGACCCCCCCTACGCTCTCTGACCAATCACATGGACCCTGACCCCCCCAACGCTCTGACCAATCACACGGATCCTGACCCCTCAACGCTCTCTGACCAATCACATGGACCCTGACCCCTCAATGCTCTCTGACCAATCCCACGGATCCTGACCCCCCTCAACGCTCTCTGACCAATCACACGGACCCTGACCCCCCCAACGCTCTGACCAATCACAGGGATCCTGACCCCCCCAATGCTCTAACCAATCACAGGGACCCTGACCCCCCCAACGCTCTGACCAATCACACGGATCCTGACCGCCCCAATGCTCTGACCAATCCCACGGATCCTGACCCCCCTCAACGCTCTCTGACCAATCACACGGACCCTGACCCCCCCAACGCTCTGACCAATCACAGGGACCCTGACCCCCCCAATGCTCTAACCAATCACAGGGACCCTGACCCCCCCAACGCTCTGACCAATCACAGGGACCCTGACCCCCCCAACGCTCTGACCAATCACACGGATCCTGACCCCTCAACGCTCTCTGACCAATCACACGGATCCTGACCCCTCAACGCTCTGACCAATCACACGGATCCTGACCCCCCTAATGCTCACACCAATCACACGGATTCTGACCCCCCCCTACGCTCTCTGACCAATCAAATGGACCCTGACCCCCCCAACGCTCTGACCAATCACACGGATCCTGACCCCCCTACGCTCTCTGACCAATCACATGGACCCTGACCCCCCCAACGCTCTGACCAATCACACGGATCCTGACCCCTCAACGCTCTCTGACCAATCACATGGACCCTGACTCCTCAACGCTCTCTGACCAATCACACGGATCCTGACCACCCCAATGCTCTGACCAATCCCACGGATCCTGACCCCCCTCAACGCTCTCTGACCAATCACACGGACCCTGACCCCCCCAACGCTCTGACCAATCACAGGGACCCTGACCAATCACAGGGACCCTGACCCCCCCAACGCTCTAACCAATCACAGGGACCCTGACCCCCCCAACGCTCTGACCAATCACACGGATCCTGACCCCCCTCAACGCTCTCTGACCAATCCCACGGATGCTGATCCCCCTCAACGCTCTCTGACCAATCACACGGACCCTGACCCCCCCAACGCTCTGACCAATCACAGGGACCCTGACCCCCCTAACGCTCTAACCAATCACAGGGACCCTGACCCCCCAACACTCTGACCAATCACAGGGACCCTGACCCCCCCCAACGCTCTAACAAATCACAGGGACCCTGACCCCCCCAACGCCATGACCAATCACAGGGACCCTGACCCCCCCAACGCTCTAACCAATCACAGGGACCCTGACCCCCCCTACGCTCTCTGACCAATCACAGGGACCCTGACGCCCCCTACGCTCTCTGACCAATCACAGGGACCCTGACCCCCCACTCCCTCCTTCTTCAGATCTGTGGATGTTTTGTTTTGTGAACGTTTGATGACAGATGATTTTGTAGTGAAATGAACACAGAAATTAAAGTGATTTTCACAGGAAGTGTGTACTCTGGTGTTTTATTGCAGTTCTACCAACATAGAGGAACCAGTACTTCCTGTAGTACTGGTGAGAAAGCGCCGTTTTAATAAGAGCCGTGTGTGTTCCGCGCTCTGCTTCCACTCCCTGCACTGCAGCCGTACCTGCAGTCACTCCCTCCCAAGCACGCTCTAAGTCCCTCCCCTCTCGTGCACGCTCTAAGTCCCTCCCCTCTCTCGTGTACGCGCTAGCTGCCAGAGCATGTGAGAAAACGAGAAGCATGGCTGCAAGTCGGAGTACAACTGCCGCTGCGCTTCGGCTTGTTGACAAAAAAGACGCCAGAAGTGAAATGTTGATGTATTTGAGCTATATCTCTGACAGTGAGGGCAAGCCTACGGACACCACGAGGCCTGTCTGTAAGAAATGTATTAATTTTATTTTATTTTATACGAATTCTTGTCATTTATTTTATTTATTGTTCTCATTGTTTAAAAGTGTGTGTTATGGTTCTGGTGTGAAATAAAGCACAATATTTTTTTAAGAAAAATAATCGGAATTGCAATTCTTGACTTGGTATCGAAACCAAAATGTTGGTATTGTGACAGTGGCGTAGCTGTGGGTGGGCCCGCCCACAGCCAATCAGCGCTTCATAGCGCAGAGCCGGGAAGCCCAGAAGGAAGTGCCACAAACTGCAGTTCATCTAGTGGCCGACAGGGGATGGATGCAGAAAGGAGCCATTCCCATAGACCCCCATGTTAACATGCCCAACTTTACAGCAGAAATAAACATGTTTCTAGCCTGGATCCAATTAAACGTATTCTGGATAGAGTTAGATTCCACCTTCATGACAATGGAATAGGGAGTGCATTTTTTTACCCTGAGTTTTTATAGTAAGTAAAGTAACTTTTGCCGTGAGTGAATGAAAGTCTTATTTCTTCTTGAGGTCTGCAGTTTAGCGTGTACACATTTGCTGAATATGAAAACTCTCAGTGTGTGCCCACTGTGCGACTGTCAGGGATAAACAACCTGTGCCCCGATATATGTTGTATGTATTATTGCTACACAAACATTACATTGCAGTTTAAGTGTCGCCAACTCCGTTTCTAATATGCAAAAAGACAGCAAAATGCGTCTGATTATTTTTAGTATTTTAGATCTTTCCAATCCAGACAAGAGATCTCTCTCCGTCTGTGTGCGAGGGGGCGCGGCAGTTTACACACACGCAGCCGCTACATGCAGCAACTGTTAGTGTATTCTAGAACCCCGAAGGCAGGAGAGACTGAAAAGAGTCAAGGGAAGCTTATAAAAGTTAACAGCATTTAATTACACAAAAGATGCGGTGGTGTACAAAATGAAATGTGCGAGTGGAGGCGCTCTCCTCATCCGCCCGGTCAGTCCAGGTCAGCAGGTAGAAGGGGTCAATTCTTGGCTTGCTCTTCCTGTTGTCATCTGAGGTCTTCTCCTATTGGCTGGCGTCGTCGGGGGGCGGGTCCAATGCAATTTCTGCCTTTTTCTGTTGTTAAATGATATCATTCTGGTGTCTGTGGTTATTTAAACATTCCCTATAAACGTTATTTAGCGGTAATAAACGAGTGCTAAACCCAGTGTGCTCGGTGTACAACATCACATGTCATTTCACCTTTGATTCACGGTTTGAAAATGCAGCATTTCGCCACATGCTAATGCTAACCGGAAATGAATAATTTTCAGAATAAAAGTATTAAGTTAATAGTTAGTGAACTTCCGGTTTTTCAGAATAAAACTGATTTAAATTAAATAGCGTATTTAATTCAAATTACGCCATACCAACATTGATTTTAATTTCTAACAATCCCTCCTTACATACCCTTTAAGGTATGTAAATAATATTGAAATCAATTAGTTCTTCATCCGAACATTGCATGGTACATAACTCATAAAAGTAAAAAAATACAAAAGAATACATATTCATCATAAATATGAAGTTTTTCATTTGTGCATAACTTCTAGCTTCAACATTTAATGTCACTTTGCAAAATAGCAGCAATTAGCTTGGTATGGAAAACGTCTAACTCCCTCCTTTCACATCATAAATCATCTTCTTAAACTATCTGAAAATAGCTAAATATTACTATTTATTTACTTTTACTGTGTCTCTGGTGTAATTTATGAATCTCTGCTGGTTCTAGTAGATATAGTTCCCCCCATCCACATTCTTGTTGGTTGTGGGACAGAGGAATAATAATTCAGAACCTGCTGATATTTGAATCTTACTACTGGGCATATGTTACAAACAAAAAACATCTTCATGGTGAACTAAATAAAATCCTTGTAATCTTTCTCAAATCTAAATATAACAATGAACTATTCCTGTTTGTGGTAAAGACACACACTAACGTTATGTAATACAATTTCATTATGGATTCAAAAACAACTAAAGTCATGATGCTGTCAGAGTGAATGATTTCCTGAGTGTATCTGTCCTGTAAGGTACGTCATTCTCTGCTTGGAGAAATCCCATCGATTGCACCTGGCAATACGGCTTCTACCTGTCTATTATCAAGCTGAAAAATGAATACAGAATTCCAACATACTGTCATCAAATGTCTTTCTATTATGAATTTAAATTAAATGTATATCCCCATAATGAACTAAACAATAAAGTCTATGGCTTTTACTTCTAATTCTTTACCAGGCTAGTTACAATATGTTGTCTAAATTAAATTCGGTCTCATTACATTACTATGTTTTAGCTTAACTTAACTGTAATATGTTCTTTCTACATTTCAAACCTCAGTTACTCTAATGTCTGTTAAAATATTACAAAATTGTTTCATTATCACAGGTCAACTTCTTCGGTATTCTATTCGGTAATTACATCTCTCACAGTAGCCCCTTGGCCACTGATTCTGTGTTACCTGTTATAATTCAAATCAATATTTAGAAACATGTCAGCATTCATCAAACAGTATCTTATCCCCAGATATGGAGCAGGTTAATTATAAAACTATCATTCAATGCTCAGTTTGAACATCTGGGTTGGGGCGGAAGGTTTCTGTCAATCCTTAAAAGAAAAATTGTAATTGTGAATTTTACAGCCATGTTGACATTATACATTATACACACTCCCACCTTTTTACACATGAACTCATGTGTAACAAAACCCTGTAATGGGGAGGGGAACAAAAAACTGTCTGGTAAATATTGGTTAGGGACATAACGAACATTATTTAAAATTTGACATCCATTATCATTATTTCCACAGTAAACACTTCAGTGAAAAGAAGTGTTCCTCTCCGTCCTTCAGGCCTAAAAGAAACAGAATCTTCAGATTTTAGTTTTACATTTGCAAACCGCCAACTCATGTGGGAGTAAAATATCATCAAGTAGATTAGAAACGGGTCACATGTGTGGTTTCCCCTTTTTGTGGAATTTTTAGGAAACCTCTCGTTTCCCTTGGAGCTCCAAAATAATATGTTAGTCCAAAAAACATGCTTGGTTAGTTAT